TTAAGGATTGAAAAAAAAAAATAAAAGCTTGTAGCTGACCACTTTTAGCTCTTTTTCTGAATGCACAATCTTTGCAGAAAAGTCTTATCACAAGTAAGACTTTTATCTCAATGCCAAGTGAAATTTCATTTTGATCTAGGAATCCAGGATTCGGATATATACTTCCTTTGGAAAAGTGTTAGCATTTTGTGCTGCTGAATTAAGTCACTTGTGATTAAGAAAACCCCCAGTGTGGTTCTTTCCTGCTGTCCTAAAACTATATCAAGACCACACATATCAGAGAGAAGGAAATTGTACCTTAAATCTTGCTACAGAAGTCATAACGGTTGGTCTCTGTTAAAGCAGGGCTGTCAGCAGTCTGCAAATTAAACTACAGGAACTGTTGATACTTAGCATTCATCTTTAACATGAAGGGGTTCACATACTACTTACTGTTCTGAGGGCTAATCTTTAGTGACAGATACAGAGACAGGAGACTCATGTGTTATAAGGAAACCCCAAACCTTCTCCCATCCTAAGCCCTTTTGTCTTTTACTTTAGGCACCAGTCAGTCATTGCCAAAAATATGTCTGAAGGGACTCATCTAAGCATTTCAGAGGGTTATTTTTTGCTTAATATTCTTAGGGAATTATGCAGAGTTCTGTTCTATGATATATTTTGGATATGCCATCATGACCATATATATCAGTGATCCTAATGTTCTTTTCCATGTGATATCAACAAGGACTTGTGGAAAGAAAGCTCGTAAAACTGGGAGGAAATTCTCACCATAGTGATTGAAATTAAATATTGCCACTTATTAAATAAGGTGGTCAAACTTTGATGCTTCAATTTCTACACCTATAAATGGAGATTCTACGTTCTCTATCTACCTTTTTTGGATGCTTTCATGGTCAAATGGATGATTAGATGTCATATCCTATGAAAAATTAGAATCCTGATAGTGGTAGAGACTTATATTTCTCACCCATTTCTAATTTATCTTCGTGGAAAGATTCCTCTTCTTGACTCCACTTTCAGTTGGGCAGGTCATGTGATATTTTCTGGCCGGTGGGTTGCAACTGAACTTGATCATTTCTGGTGCACACCATTTAATTACTGGTGTGAGACCCTTTAGGGTTTTTTTCCTCTGCTGTGGTGATTGTGGCAATGATTAGAGCTGGAAATGTTCCATAGTTTAGAACTGTCTGGGATGATAGCACACAGAAGATATTTATCAAGGAAAGGTGCCTAGATCCACAGTGGTCTTTGAACAAGCAAGGGATAGACCAATATGGTAGGGCCTGCCAAAGAGGCAAAATGACATCTAAGAGAGTGACATGCTAGGAGCCAAGAGAAGAAAGTAGTAAGTCAGGTCATATCACTTCTGCAGTTTCCCTTTTTGAGGTTTCAGTGGTTACCTGTGGTCGACTGCAATCTGAAAATATTAAATGGAAAATTCCAGAAATGAACAATTCGTAGATTTCAAATTGTGGGCGACTCTGTGTAACACGATGAAATCTCTAGTCATTCCTCTTCACCCTGTTCAGAACATGAATCATCTTTGTCCACTGTATCCATGCCTTACATGCTACCTGATGATAGGCATCTGGGCTATCAGATTGACTGACTGTTGTGATATCGCAGTGTTTGTGTTCAAGTTACTAGCAGCCTAATGCTATGCCATAATGCCTACATGATTGCCCTCACTTCATGTCATCAGATAGGGATGAGGGCGGTACAATAAGATATTTTGAGAGGGAGAGAGAGAGAGAGACTAGTTACACAATTTTTATTATAGTATATTCTTTTAATTGTTCTACTTTATTATTAGTTATTGTTGTTAATCTCTGACTGTACCTAATTTACAAATCAAACTTTATTACTGGTATGTATGTCTGAGAAAAAACACAGTGTATATAGGGCTCAGTTCTATCTGTGGTTCCAGGCATTCACTGTGTGTCTTGACATGTATCACTTGGGCATAAGGGAGGGACTACTGTACTGTGTCAGATCGTTGAGAGTGAGGGATTATTTGTTATGGCAGCATAACCTAGCCTATCCAGAATGCTCAAAGTATAAAGAAGTCTTAAATTTTTATTGTGATTGTTAGTCATATGTCTAACTAGTTCTGTACTAATATTTACTAATTTGCTGGTGTGCCATTTTAATGGCTAATGGATTTGAATCTGATTACTTTGACTCTTTCCATCCCCATCCCCAAGTATCTCTAATATCCTATTGACTGTTACCAGCAAGAACAAACTGTATTAGCAGTCATAATATATTGTCAGTTACAAGTAATGGGAGCTAATTTCAAGAAGTACTCTGTCTGGCATATAATGGACACTCAACAAACATTTATTGATAGTAAGAAGGGAAATTGGATAATATGACTGTTACCAGTGGCAAGTCCAAGTAACCAAGTGGTAAAATCCAGTAGACCTTTAGTTCTCAATTCGCTTGACATGGCAAACAGGTTTTGGCACATTTCATCATTCTCTTTTTCTGGAAATTATTTGATCCTTTGCTTCCTGAACATCAGAATCTTCTAGTTTTCTCTCTGTTCCAGTAGCTACTGCTTGGTCTCCTTTGCTGAATCTTCTTCTTCCTAATATCTAAATATTAGAGTGTTCTGGAGCTCAGTCTTTGGACCTCTTCTCTTTTATCTGAATATCTGTCATGTCTGCTTTCTGTTTCACTATTGAATGATTTCTTTTTATTGATCTACACATTTTCTTTTATGTAGAGAGTAGTAACCCGCTGTCTATTCTACATTGCTACTAGTTTTCCTCACTTGTCATTAGATTTTTACTTCATTTATAGTTTTTCATATAGACAGCTTACATTTTTATATAATCAAAATATATCTTTTTTTTAATCTTTTGGAATTAGTGTGGGATTTAGAGGAGTTGTTAATGTGTGAAGTGGTTATACTTAATATGGTTTCTATATTAAAGCCACTTTCCTTTGTACAGCAGGGCTGCATTGCTCATTTATCATTGCTTGGCCATGTTCTTTGGGCCATGTAGCTATATGGTGAAAGGTCAAGTCATTCCAATCTATAATCTTGCCAAATTACCCTTGTTACTGTAGCAGTCATCTATTGTATATATTACATATAATAACACTACAAAATTTAGTGGTGCAAAGTACCAGTAATTATTTAACATCTCTCATAGTTTCTGTGGTTTCAGGAATTCAGAAGTGGCTTGGCCACACAATTTTGGATCAGGGTCTCCCATGAGGTTGTAGTCAGATATTGGCTGAGGCTGTGGTCACCTGAAGGCTTCTGGGGCTAGAGGATATAGTTCTAAGAGACTGGCATGGCTGGAAGTTGGTGCTGGCAAGGTGGTCTTTCTCTATGTGGGTCTCTTTACAGGGTTATTGGAGTGTCCTCATGATGAGCTGCTTGACTTTCCCTAGAGCAAGTAATCCAAGAAACCAAGGAAGAAACTCCGATGTCTTTTATGACTTAGCCTCAGAAATTCCACATCACCATTTCCACCTACTTCTATTGTCTGCATAATAGAACAGTCTTGCATCAGAGATGTGACTACTGGAAGGTGAAGTCACTGGGGGCCATTGTAGAGACTACCTACCACAGTAACCAAAGAACATTATTTATTTAAGGTGTTTTCTTGGGTTTGATAAACACTTTTAAACTGAGAATACAGGAATACAAACTGATAAATACTGGGATTTATCCAAAGCACTGTTAATTTACACTATACTCAAGTAGACAGGAAATGGATGAGTTTTTGCAGACTGTTCGAGTAAGGCCCTTAGGACAGAAGGTGCCTGAGATTGCCCTGATGTAATACCTTCTGGTTCACTGTTTGAGGCTAATGGTATTCTTTTCTGTTTTTGTTGTTTTTTGCTTTTTGTTTTTAGAGACAGGGTCATGTTCTGTCACCCGGGATAGAATTCAGTGGTTCATGACTCACTGTAGCCTCAAACTCCCAAGCTCAAGCAATCCTCTCACCTCAGCCTCTTGAGTAGATGGGCCTACCGATGTGCTGCCATGTCTGGCTAATTTTTAAACTCTATTTATTGCAGAGAAGAGGTCCCATTCTGCTGGCCAGACTGGTCTTGAACTTCTGGCCTCAAGTGATCTTCCCAGCTCAACCTCCCAAAGCACAGGGGTTACAGGCATGAGTCACTGCATCATCATGAACTGTAGTCATGAGTATTGACCAACATTATTTTTGATTATCTGCTTCCTCCATACTTCTCTGAATCCAAATATTTTGAATAAAACAAATCAGAGCCAAGAAAATGTTTAAGAGTGCAGTATATATAAGAAAAGGACTGACAGTGGTGGGAAACTATGCGGGGGAGGAGGGGAAGGAGGTGGGATTAACGGTAGTAATATCTGTCTGAGGTCGGGAAAACACCCCTTATCAACAAGGGTGCCTGAACAAAGCATATTTGTATACCTAACCCTTAACTGTACCCCACAATATCAAAATAAAAAATATTGATATATAAAAATAAAAATAAAAAAAGAAAGAAAATAATGCAGTATAAATAGCTACTAATTATAATAATCATTATTTTATTTCCTGATTGCTTGCTGTATGCCAAACTCTTTTCAGAAGTAATACCTAGTCCTTCTACTGTCCGTTGATAAAAGGTGACATTATCCCCATTTTAAATATGACAAAAGTGATACTCAGAGAATTTCATCCAAAGTCATATAGTAAATGGTTGAGCTGAATTTTAACCCAGGTCTGTTTCTAAGTGCCATGGTTAATCTACTACCTCTCACTTCACTGACATAAATAAACACACACGTGTGCACAATGTTTGGGCATCAAAAAGTTGAAAGGTGGTAGAGTTGTGTATTATCTGGAAGGATCTGTCAAAGGTAAAAGATGCAGGAAAATGTAATCTCAGATATGGAAACACTTTGAAACTGAGAAGTGCTGTATAAATGTAAGGTGGCAGTGTAATTAATATTATTCATCTCAGAGAAGTAAGAAAATGAATCATGTATAATTTCTCTATTTTTTCTTCAGTTAGATTATAGCAGAACACCTGCCAATTAATCCTGACCCTGTAAAAACAATAACTGCCTATCTAGGTAATACACTGGAATTAATGTGTAATTAAAGAAAATTATTATTGCTTGGCTATAAAATGGGAATAGCAATATTTCAAGTTAATATATATTTTAGACCAATAAATGTTTTGGATTAGGAAACTGTTAAAATGCATAATTTAGGAAGATAGCACATCATCAGTTTAAAATTAAAGCTTTATGGCTGTAAAAGCATTTTGTTGTAATGTCAATATGGTGTCATATTTGTCTTCAACACGAAGATATTGTCTTTCTGACAACCACTGTTTAAAGAAAATAAGCCTTGGGAATGGGAAAAGCACGCTTCTCTTAGATTTTCCCCTCTTTTGACATGTTCCTTGGTAGTGTTAGCACATTAACGATGAACTTGGATGACGTTGGAGGCTGAAGGATGATATGTAGCCCTCATTACATTGCTGTGGCGCCTGGCCCATAGACACCAGCAGCAAGAGCCTTGATTTCATTTTAAAAGGAGTTAGAAGAATGTGAAGAAGGTCATGGCCATCAATCTGTTATCACTCTGCTAGATAGGATCTCTTTAAAGAGGCACATGAAACACATTTTAAAACCTCCAGAGAAGGCCCCCAAATGATGATGTTCATCCTCCCACTTTCTAAGGATTGTGTAATCTCTGAAACAGAGCTCACATGCACTGCACCACAAAAATTGTCTAAGGAGATCCTTTCATTTTAAATTGTCACAGTTAGAGTCAGCATATGTAACCCGTACATAGTGAAGCATGCATATGAAAGCAAAAAAATATTTTGCAGTCCTGTTAAGGTTTTATTAACTTCACATTCTTGTGAGTAGGTCAGTAGTTATCCTCCTGCAGAGAAAAGGAATGGAGACTGAAGTTTAATGTCCTGTTTAAGGCTGCTTATTGATTGGAAGGCAGGAAGTAGTCTTGAGGAGAATGCTTTCCTGCTATCTCAAGATGTAACCACGAGATCTCTGGATACAATGCCCTTTGTTTTATTTCTTTTGTTTTATTTTTACGAATATTAAAGAAGAGAAACATATAGAGTACTTAGAATTTGAGTCCCCCAGCATGAATTTAGTTTCGTGAAATTTCATCTAACTTTTAGGGACATGCATATATACTTTTATATAATTAAAATTCTGATGCATGTTCAAATATCTATTTTACTTAACATTATTAATATAAACATTTTTGCTGCTATGCTACAACATTTTTTTTTTTTTTTTGAGTTGGAGTCTCACTCTGTCACCCAGACTGGAGTACAGTGGCCGCTCCTGGCCACCGCAGCCTCGACCTGCTGGGCTCCGCGATCCTTCCGCCTCAGCTTTCCAAGTAGCCGGAATTACAGGCATGTGCTACCACGCCCGGCTGATTTTTTGATTTATTGTAGAGATGAGGTCTCGCTGCCCAGGCGGGTCTCGAACCCGCGGGCTCAGGTAATCCACTCACCTCAGTCTCCCAAAGGCATGGGATTACAGGCTGAGCCACCGAGCCCGGCTTGCTACAACATTTTAATGATATTTTATGGTAGCCTCACAGTCCATCAGGTTGGTATGTCATAATTTGTTCTGTTGGACATTTAGGTTGTTTCTAAAATTTTCTCTGCAATAGATGACAATGTAATAACCTTCTTTATAAACATAGTTTTTTTATTTTCCTAGATTTTTTTTAAGCTAAATTTTTCAAGCGTTGATTTAGAGGATCAAAGCACTTGTTTATATGAATTCTCTTCATGGGTTTGTGTCTGATAGATGCTGAGTGGTTTTTCTACTTTTTTTAATATTTTTAATTTTTGAGAGTCTAATTTACAGGTAGTGCTTCACATAGTACTGATTCGACTGACCAAATTTATGATTGTATCAGTAAGAGTCCCTGCAGGACACAGAACTTACTCCAGTGGTTCAAATGAGAAGATTTAATGAAGGGTGGTACCCATAGAAGTGTGTGCAGAGTTAAAGAACAAACAAGGAACTACAGTTGTGGAAAGCCATGTCCAGTTCTGGATGAAGGAACAAGAGAGGTACATGGTGTTTCATGAGCTCTTTGGGTCAGCCATGGGCTGAAGGAACAATGGGAGGAAGTAATGTTCTATGAGCACTTAGAGCTGCAGCCATGGGGAAGCAGGGCTGGCTGCAGCTCGGGCTGTAGGGCCATGCATCTTTTATCAGAGATACTGGGCAAAGCACATGGGGAGTGGGAGGGAACGTCTCAACCTCCCCTCTCTCCTTCCAGTCTCTTGTCAGTACCTTTCATTGGTGGAATACAAATAGAAGTCACCCGGCACAGGAACCTGAATGATACTGCCTTCGGGGGCCACCCTCCTGGAACACAGAGCAGGGGGGAATCTAGATCTGGTGGAGGTGAAGAAGCACGTGGCAAAACCCCAAAAGACCAAACTAACACAATAATGATGGAAAGTTCCTTTCAATAGTAGTATAGGGCCAATACTTGGAGAATCTCAAGTTTGGATCATATTTCATATCTCTCTGAAGAATCTTAAGTTTGGATCATATTTCATATCTCTCTGGACTGTAATGTCTCAGAAAGGCCTTAAATATTGCATTTCCTTTATTATGAAAACAAGTTCACAGCGAGAGAGCTGGGGACTCCTGAAAAAGCACCTGGCTCTGATGAGAACAAGTCTCAAGTCTGTAGGCTCCGTGTTTGATCCTTGGCAGTGTTTATAGTCATCTTGTGTTAACTCTGGTTTTATTCCTCATAATAACTGTTTTGCCTGTCCTCTAACTCCTAACTGCACCCCTCCAGGTTTTGAGTCGAGTGTTTCTAGCTTCAGTGCACACTTAGGGTAGATTGTCTGTGTAAGAACATGCTCACCAGACAGCATTCCATAAGGCAGTCTCTCACTTTGGGGGCTGAGGACCTCTGAGCATTTATTGACTTGAGGAGTGTAAGTCTGCTGTATGATTTTTTAAACGTTGCTTTTATTTGAATGGCAATAGAAATTTAATATTAGACATAGTCTGTATCATTTGGATGATTGTCTTATCACTGAGCACTGTGACATGATTTCAGTGTCTATACCTACATTTATGTTTGTATTCAAATTGATGTCAAGTAGAGATGCTTTCAATGTGGAGCGTTCTTAGAAAAAAATTAGGATATGCTTAGTTTGAGCCCAAGGCGATTCTTTTTAAAGACACTCAGGCTGGAGTGGTACAATCATTAGCTTACTTGAGCCTCCACCTGCTGGGCTCAAGCTATCTTCCTGAGTAGCTCACACCACCATGCTCAGCTAATTTTTAAAAAGTTTTTTTTGTTTGTTTGTTTTTTGTTTTTGTAGAGACAGGTTCTTGCTGTGTTGCCCAGGCTGGTCTCAAATTCTTGACCTCAAGCAATCCTCCTGCCTCAGCCTCCTAAAATACAGGATTACAGGCATGAGACACCATGCCTAGCTACCCAAAGCACTATTTACCTTCCGAGACCAAATGGCCACAAAGCAGGCTGATGAAGAAAGATTTCAGAGTAGTTCTAGTAGGGAAAAATGGTGAGAGAATCCAGTCATCACAGGGAACGTGGAAATAAATGCTTGCTAATGTTAAGAGGACACATGCCACAGGATTAGCACCATGCATTTTGTCATGATTGGCAAAACCCAGGAACTCAACACATCCTTACCCACTAGTCAGGGCAGTAACTTCATAATCACTAATCTCCAAGCCTGTTTGCCAAAGTCAACCAACGCCTAGCCCCAACAAAGCCCTCCACAAACAAAGCCACACCTGGCCTGAGAGTTAGGATAAGTAGAGAACTTTCTAGACACAGCTGAAAGATTAGGCTGCCAAAACACCATCTTTCTTCCTCCTTGAAGCCTTTTCTTTGCTCAGAACTCCTCTTTTCCCTCGGGTGGAAGTGATGCTACTCTCGTGGGTTGCTAAGGACAAAAGGTGTTGCCTACTGGAGAATGCTGGGCTGCTGCAGGATGCACACCTGTTCACAGTATCATATGAACCCTCACTTACCCGTGTTTTACAGCCCAAAGAGCAGACGTATGCGTTTAACATCGAACACACCATTCTCTGGGTTTCCCACATGCGTATAACTGCCTTGAGTGTTCATAAAAGTTATCTGCCCTATGCAAAGAGGAGACAGTGTTCTCTGTCCAGTGGAAAAATTGTCACTGACAATTACAAGGTAGTTTGTCCCAGTCCCAAAGAGTAACCCCCCAAGAAGTGTTACGTTCATAAGCCACAGTCTTGGAGGGGCAGTGCAGTGAGGAATTAAAAGGAACAAACATTCTTTAATATTTTCAACAAATAGAATTAATACCTCAGAAAATAGGTCAGTCAATATTTACGAGAGTTCGGTATATGCTATTTGGTTATGGCAGAAATAGGAAGAATAGCCATAGGGGCTATAAAACACGTGTAAATGAGGGTTCATATGATACTTCTAGAAGTTGTGGCAAAAGGGCTTTATTAACTATTATTGTCACTGCTCACGAATTCCTCTAATAGAGTTCATCAGAGGTGAAGATCATCCGAATAATAGATAGTTGATAAATAATTTGCAACTGGCACTGAAATGTGTTATGTAGTTTCTTTTCTGCCACCTGGTCCTTCTAACTTGTTTGCTTTAGGATTATGTCAGAAGGGGCCCGAATTCCACAAGCTAGGAGTCTAGTTACGCCCTAACTCTTTTCTCACTTCTCTTTCCCCGTAAGGACTTCATTGTCCAAGTTGTCAGGAAAAGTCATGAAGAAATGGCCACAAAAATCTGTGGGTCATTTTCTTAGAGCCCAACACTCTGGTAGACCTGCGCTCAGGTTACAAGAAAGCCTTTGAAGGACGGTCTTGCTGTGATTTATTTTTTTCTAGGAAGAAAGTTTGTGTGGGTTGGTGTGGTCAGACTGTTTCTAGCAGAAAAATTCCTGGAGAAAATTGGGCTTTCCCAGTCAAACATAAACTTTTCTGATCACCTCATTTCTGCTATCCCAGACCTTTTGATTGGCAAAACCCAGGAACTCGGCAAATCTTTACCTGCCAGTCAGGGCAGTAGCTTCATA